TAACCTCTAGACTTTTGGCGGCCTTCTGGGACACCCTGCATAAACGCGACCTGTTTTCACTAATTGAGCGCTGGTTGTTTCACTAGCGATGGAGTTTCAGTTAACAAAGACAACGTTGCAGTTGCCCTATTCAATTAACTTTCCATGCTAGGAAAGTTTCACAATGATTGAACGACAGGAACGCTGAGATGGGTTTTGATTTGCCGTGCAAACAATGTCTAGTACACTGCGGATTCACACCGCTCCAGGATTTGAATTTTGGGCTCTATACAAGTGGGTGGGCACGTCCAGCTTTTCACGCATGTCAAGTGACTGCCCTCACCCCCACCCCCTAGATTGGCTACACTCCCCCTGGCTCACGAATTCCCCGATTCTCGTGACAGTATAGTAGCGGGCAGCAGTCCCACTTACATACATTTCTGTTCAAAAAATGCGGCGTGCCCACCCTACTTGTATAGCACCGAATTTGGTTCATATGTGTGGCGAAGAAAGAAAGAGTTCATTGGCGCCGAAAATTTTTCTTTGTTCCTGTTGAAATGGGGAGCCTTCTTTTCCGCCTCCCTTCGGCAAGCCATGCAGGCTTTATCGTGGACTTGAGAAACTGAATTAAGACGTTTATGTTAATAAGAACAAACGGTATATGCAATGAATATGGACAAATGCAGAAATAAGCTTCTAGGTGGAGGAATTTAAATGAGTTTATCAAAATCCTCAACCTCTCAGAGAAGAAAGGAAAAACCAATTTCCGTCGCCATAAAAGAAAGGAAGACCCTTTCCGCCTTAAGGAAATAGCAAGAAAACAAGCAAAATTATTAACAAATAGATGGAAGGCTGAAGCCGCTTCTAAGAACAAAGGAAGGAGGGAAAAACCGTTTTTTACACTCTCGTCAGCTTTTTATGCGGAGCTGGGCTCATACACAAACATTTTCTGGGGAGCAAAAACTTCCGTATCGCCGAAGCTATGGGAATCGCAGCCTAGCGTAAAACGTCTCTCAAATATTCGAGAAATCGTAGCTTCTTTCCGCGCTTAATTCGATCTCATCCAATTCTCTCTATTGCTTTACCTGGGTTTTAAAAAAGCATTTCATGCTCATACGGTGAGCACAAGCACGTAATTACTGCTATTTTCAAAACGCTGCAAGGCATCAAACTCGATGTTTTGAATTGTGTTGCCTGATTTGTGCAAAGCAGATCTGATACCTAGCATTTGACCACGACTTGGTTCACTCTTTGAATATTATACTAACTTGCTGCCATATTAATGTCGCACAGATTCACTTTCACCTCATTGGGCAGCTTTCAAACTCAGTTTAGGCCACCTGCAGAGACCAAGCCGCATGTCAGGAAACAAATCACCAGTAATCACCAGTAAAAAGGTGTGAGACCGGTCTGAAGACTTTTGCCTGCCCTATTAACTAGCTCTTGTCACACACCATCTATGTTGCCTATTCGAGTTAACGCATTATATTGTGAAGGAGAAACGATCCTGAGACTACAAAAAATTCCCACTCTGGGAGGCCACCTTTGCCTGCGCGGTTGCTACAATTTTCGGGAAGAAGGTGGAATTACTGCGTAAAGAAGGCGAAGCCCGACACAAAAGGTAGTATCCACCTCTTTCCTTCTGAGGTGCCAGAGTGACGCTGTTCGTAATTTTTATGTCCATCTGAAAACGCCATTTATATTGTAACAACCTAACACATTTATTGTTTATAGTTAGCCATTCATTTAAGACAAGTTTGAGCGATGACTACTTCCATCTAGCCGGCTTTCTTTTGTTCGCGCTATTCAAGACGAAGGCGTTACGACAGTTTGAGTTGTCCTCTTCGAGATAGAATTTTTCATTCTGGAAGAAGGGGTTGGGAGGAATCAGTAAAGAGGTAGTCATTGGGGGGGGGGGGCAAGGGGAATAAGGTTATGGCGACCATTCTGTTAACATACCACATACGAATTGGAAGCAAATAGTAACAGGAATTCTGTTGAGAGGCCCTGGGGTTTTGCTATTGGATCCTGCATGCGTCCTTATATGTGTGGATGTTTCCTAATGGCTACCAGTAAGCGACGCGTGCCGATACTTTGCTTAAACGTCAATGCGCATGTCTCGAGCACTCAGATCACATTGAGCAATCACTAAGCTAAGCCGCCAGCTTCCGGATTCGAATGTCTCCACATTGAAACAGTCTCAATTTTGACCACTCTGGATTTTGGTTCTTGGATGTCCAAGGGACAAGTGGTGAACAAGAACACTTTCCCAATTTCAGCATTTGGCCGCGAGCAAATTTAGACGGCTCGACGAATCTGAATCAAATTTGTAAGGTGATTCAGATACGCATTTATTGTTAGGAGCAATTTGAAGGAGCCTGCGTGGCCTCCGAAACAAACAATGAACTTTGAAACAAACAAGGCCAGTGATGCCGTCTTCAGTCAGAAATTGTCGTCTGGGTTCAAACCGCTACCCAACCCTAACTGCTAGTCACATGACGTCTTGCCCCTTTGCGCCAACCAAGGTTTAGGGATGAGTATGTGACTAGAAGCAAAGCAAATAAAATTAGAATACGATAAGTCGCGATTTGCTTTTTAAACGTACAACCTTACTCGAGAGTCAGTACTCGGCACTTAGGCTTTAGTTTGCACTATAGAAAAAGTATAAAAAAATTCGAATTTTTTTCTGTTTATTAGAGCCCTTGTAATCACCTTCGTAGCATCTCCAGTGATTGTCAAGAACCAAAATGCTCAACTTAAACCTGTAATTTTAGGATAAGAAAAACGATATTCTCATAGTCTACTATATATATTTGTTGACTTGTTTATTTACTTATTTATTCATTCATTGGAGAGCGCGGACAAGCCTATGTAAAATTGTCAGGCTGCATACAGATCTCCTTATCAAGCGAGTTAAGAGCAGTAATACTGGGTAAAAAATATTGGGCTTTTATACGAAGTTATACGAATCTCTCGTTATCTCCGTTGCGTTGTGAAAGTTCCTTTCGTGAATTATCATGATATATGTGATATTATGGTTTAATTAATTTATATCAAGAAATTCTATGTTGTGGTTGCAGTTGGTGTTTATAAATGCGACACATGATAAATAAAGAAGTAATAAGCGGCTTCAAGAACGAATGTCTCTCTTTCTTCTCTCATAACCGTGCATCAGGAAAGATCTCAGTCGCTATGTCCTCCAAAATGGTAGTGAGAAGGAAGTGGTTGTGCAGAGATAGCGTTGTAGGCTTTCCATTTTCATCAGCGTAAGTTCACCGACTAAATTCAACCGCGATAGCGATCGGCTGTCACTCTCGAAAACCTCTCGCTCTCTTTCGCACACCATAACGAGTCTATGGCTCTCACTTTCCAGACGATCTCTGACGTTAAACTACAAGGGAACCGCTGATCAATTGCACTATTCTCACACTTGCCGTGGCCTGCCGCTGTAAAAATCCCTTGAAGTTCGTCATTTGGACCGGTAAACCGATGTGAGGGGCGGGTCGATGCTGCCCGTATAAAAGCAACCCGAGGCCATTTACAGATACCGACATGCATTCCTCCGATAGCATCGACGAAAAGAAACTGTGGCATGAGGCGGAAGGTCTCCGTCGCATCGCCTTCTTCGGGATCTGCATCAGGTCATTTTTTATGCTTCATAATTTTTTTTGTATTTTTCTCGAATTTCTTATTTATTAACCCTTATAAGCCTAGATTTTTTCAGTACGGTTGCCACTCTGACGGCCATCGTTGCTATCCCGGCGCTGTACAACTACATGCAACATGTGCAGTCCTCCCTTCAGACAGAAGTCGAGTTCTGTAAACACCGAACAAATGGACTGTTCAGCCAGTACGAGCGCATGCAAAGGATAAAGGGTGTTAGAGGAGGAATCGTGAAACGTCAAGCCGGATATGATGCACCAAGCGAATACCCGTCCGATGCCGGAGTGCATGGCGACTCATCCCAGCAGGGCGGTGGTGGTGGCTGCTGCAGCTGCAAATCAGGACTTGCTGGACCACCTGGTCCTCCTGGTCTTGATGGCCCAGATGGAAAAGATGGCCAGCCTGGATCCAACGGAGAGCCTGGCGCTGATGCTGCTCCCGATGCAGTCCCCACTGCCGACGATTTCTGCTTTGACTGCCCTGCTGGACCTCCCGGACCACCAGGAAACGCAGGTCCCAAAGGACCCAATGGAAACCCTGGTGCGCCCGGACAGCCCGGACCCGATGGCCAACCTGGACAGCCTGGACCTCCTGGTCCACAAGGAGCTCCTGGAGCCGATGGACAGCCCGGAGCGCCTGGTGAGCAAGGACCACCCGGAGTCGTTGAGGAAGTTGCCGTTCCCGATGGACCAGCTGGACCCCCTGGACCACCCGGACCACCTGGACCCGATGGACAGCCCGGAGCGCCTGGACAACCTGGACAAGATGGACCTCAGGGACCACCCGGAGATGCAGGACGTGATGGAGCACCAGGAAACCCAGGAGCTCCCGGAGAACAAGGACCACTTGGAGACAGCGGTGCTGGAGGTGGTTGCGACCATTGCCCTCCTCCCCGAACTGCCCCCGGATATTAACCAATCCATTTGCTTAAGGGCTTTCATGTTCATTGCTTTTATTCTCACGACCTCATGACTCATGCATTAATTATGCAAAAAATAAAAGATTTTTTCTCGATTTTGTTTCCTTTGTATTTGATGCCAGAATCGTATAACATTCGATTTAAGGTTCAAGCATTGTCATTGATAGAAACCTGGTGGAGATCACAATGAAAGTGCAGTTCAAAATTTTTTCCTAATCAGGCTTGTAAGACAAATGAGAAAAAAATCGCAATAAAAAATGATTTATTTATGCTTCGTAGTTGAAGAACAGGGCCGGAGTAGGTTCTGAGTGAGTGAGCGGGTGGGGTTGCCAATTTCTCCAGGAAATCGCGAACTATTTAGTCAAAGCAAACCAGGTGGGCCGGTAACTAGCGGTAGCGGTAGCTTTCGATTGGAAGACCATCACAAGCACCCGAAAAAAAAAAACATTTCGCCACTAAAATCTGTAGATCTTAAGGACATGGATTCGGTCTCACTGTTCGTCATGTTGAGAGTCCTCCCTAGTTATGGCACCAAATTGTTCATGGCAAACCAAAGTTGGAGGGTCCTCATGTTGTGCCTGATTCTGAAATCTTTCAGAAAGGTGACATTTTTACGCGGTTATTTAAGGGTTAAGCGTTAAGGGTTTAGGGTTAAGCCGACCTCTTGAAAATATGCTCATTGACTTGCATATGTAATATATATTGTCGAAAATTCCAAAGGCATTCTTGGGTATTCTTGGTCAGTCATACCGAAACCGATCCAATTTCCTCCCCAGCAGCAGTTTGCAAGCAGTGCAGTTGAGCTTTTCTCATAGGGTGGTCAGAGTTTGCAGAATCAGTAGAATCAAAGTGTGAAAAATTTAATCACTATTCCCTTTTACAACGCTATGCGCTCGATTACAGGAGATTTCTTAGAAAGACAGCGCTTTCATGAAACCTCAAGGAACCGGTTGCATGTTGAGGCATATCCCTTTGGGCAATTTAAGAGCTTCTCTCCGTTTATGAACTGCGGGAACGGAGAGTGAAAGAAACTTGTTGTGTGAATGCCCATGCAAACCATTCGCAAACTGCGATCCTTTGAGAAGAATTCTCTCCTGCGAACAAAAAGTTGATCGACGTTTCCAAGTCCACTTCTATCCAGCACCTCCAATGATTTTATTCAGGAGCAAGTTAAACACTTAAAAACATAATTTCTTCTAAGACATTGATGGCTAGCACGAGCTTCACATAATCGCTAGCAGGACGCTTAGGACCATTGCGCCTGCCCTCTTTTTAGGCCACCCAGTCCATAATCCACTTGCTAGGCGTCCGGTCAACAGAGACTGAAAGATCGTCTGCTGAGTCCTTGTTAATACATTAAAATCAATGCACCCTGCCCTTGAAGAAATGACCATTCGAAACATTCTTTTGTTTACTCTGCAGAAAGAAATGCACCAGATCATTAGAATTCCTACAAATTCCGAGTAGCTACTCTAAAACGATGAGAATTTGAAAAGCAGCGCTTTTTCCGGTTCTAAGACTTGGCGGCCTTGCCCCAGGGCTTTTTGTCATCGACTGTCTCCACCTGGTCTCTGCACATCCGACCTGTCTATCAACGCTGTCCTTGGTCTGTCTTTGAGACATTCGCTGACGCCAGGGTCTGCGTAATCTTCAAGGCTATCGCGAACAACTTTCTCTGGTTGTTCTATAAGGCACGTGCTACAGTGGCGGCAAAAACTCTGTAATTCAAGTCTGACCGTCTTGCCGCTGGTTTTTGAACGTGAGAAGAGTGAATGCATACCGATAAAACTTCTAAGCCATTAAACACCGTCGATCGCCATTCGCTGTGTCTTTAACGATGTTGCTGATGAACAATCTCAATCATTTTCGACCAGGGCCAGCCAATGCCGACGTTTTATCGAAGTTGGGGGAAGGTCGTGGTTGCTTCTTGCAAGGGTATTCGACGAGGAAGGGGGGGAGGGGAGTAGCAGATGGGCAGTATATTATTTCTAGAAGCAGTGAAAATAGGTCCCTTTGATACCCAGGAACCCTAGAGAGTATTCTTTTTGAGCTTTTACAAAATATTGCAAATTTCGCGGAAATGAACAGCATTTCCGTGGAAATTTCAGTTAGAAATAAATCACGATGGCTTCATATATCTAATGCTCGCAAAATCTCCGGTCAATAATTATCTTTTTCAATTTATTTTTTTCTAGTGCAAATAATTTTTTATAAGTATAAATTAAATTTTTACTTGCTATTTTAATTTTGTTTTTTTAATAGTTTTTTTTTTATAATTGAAATCTATCAATCGTCACTAGCGGCGAAACATGGACTTAAAGAAAGTTCAGGGAGGGTCCGAAAATTTCAATGCCACTACTACTGAGGGATACACGAGCCCTAGTGAAGAACATATGCAGTGGAAATAATAAACGAACTTACCTCAGAAACTCAAAAACAGGGTGGAAAGTCCCTCAAACATGGGTGTTCTTTGGGGATTTTCCATCCGCCCTTGCGGCGTCATTGACGGTGGCAATCTGTATCTTCGATTTTTGGCCCAGCGGAAAAGTGATTGAAAAATTGGTGGAGGCTTTAGCGGGCCGTTCGAAATCGTCCAAAGCGGTTTATCCATTGCTGAGCGGCAGAGGGAGAGTACCTGTCTAAGACCCTCCCCGACGTTTTTTTCCAGTTTTTCATACATTAATCGTCTGGTTTTCATCTACAACTTCATTATTGGTGGTTTTTTCCCGCGAAACCGTTCCTGAACTGTTGCTTTAAAGAGGCGGACTCCTGGATGTATTTGTTTGAATCTGAGCTTATACGAAGTTATACGATCCAGCATGATGGCAATTTTATACTCCAAGCCGATCGGTAATCCTAATGAAACGAGCGGAGTTTACGCAGGATATTCGGCACAGCACGCAGCACAGGGTGCCCACTAAAGTAGTGAAGCGATGCTGCAATCAACACTACCGGATCTACAGTAGCGCTCGAATGTCTTCGGTAAAATGCCTTTCCGGTCGTAAGTTTTTCTCTGTGTAGGGAGGGCGGAAGTGGTGTAGTGGCAAGTGGCACGCTTACCACGCGAGCGGTCCGGGGATCAAATCCTGGGTCGTGAGTCGCCCGGGCCAACCAAGCCTTCCATCCCTCCGGGGTCGGTTAATTGGTACCAGACTTGTCTGGGAGGATAAAAACACTGACTTGTACATCGGCTGGCCCCCGCAAGTCGCCACTACGAATGTACAAATGGAAGTAGAATGCGTGCCGCATCCCAAAAAGGGATTGATCAACGGCAAATGCTTTATCCTTTATCCTTTATTTTTCAAATATCGCTTCGTTTAAACTTAACATGTTTTGAAGACAAGCCTGTTCACTGAATCAATGTACTACTTCTTTTGAATGGAAGGAAGAGAAAAGAGTAAAAAGAGTGAAAGTATTTTGTTTGGAAATTCTCGAGAAAATTACCGAATTCCAGGTAATTTCGAACTATAAAAAACATTTACATTCCGGCAAAACAATCGTGATGCATGATAAATAATCTTATGCAAAATCAACAAACAAACTGACAAACTCAGAATCTCTGCAACATTGACAGCGCCTAACCATTCACTGTCTATGGGGACCACTTCTTCAATTTTCTCAAAATTTCACGAGTTTCTCCTTCATTTCCTGACTATTTTTCTGCCTAAAGTTCTCCCACCCCTTCCCATAGTACCTCGATGACGCTCAGTACATGCGTCTGATTTGCCCGTCCGTTAAAAGGCACGCCACGGTGTTGAAAGTACTCTTGCACAGGTGATGTGCGATGCTTTGGGAAGCTAACGTATGGCTTGGAGATAAGTCAGTACCGTATAGCGTTCGCGTGGGTGCACAGCACCTTCTAGAATGTAACCATGTCTGTACGTCAAGAGTCAATCGCCCGTTGCGCAAAGATCAACGAGGGTCGTATTTGATCAATGGAAGGGGGAGGAGGTAGTAAGCTCAAGTACCAGTCACAAAATGTGAAGGTACCAAGGCATGAAAAATGGCAAAGGAGGACAGACTTTGAAGGCAAGAATCAGGATTAAATTAATGGGGTGAATTCCACTCAAATGTGAAAGTAGGGATGGGAGGTGGACCGCCAGTGGAGAAAAAGGAAAGAAAATCCTGAAATACACAGGAAATACGAGTTTGC